AAACTGGAGGCTGTGGACGCGGCTCCTATACGAAAGGAGTGTCCTGAGTAATTGTTTGCGTTGAGGCCCAGTTGTGTGAGCAAGGACCTGACGTAGGTCATGAAGGTTGTAGTGGTGAGTACTGCACCTTGTAGTTGTAATAACGGTTGCGAGGGCAGTAAGTGATGGTGCTGTATGTAGGCATCAAGAACTTTTACGGGACACCATCTGCTGTGCGTGGGGTAGTACGGAATGTTTACAGGTATGTGCTGGCTGGTTTTGTAGTGAGGTAAAGACAGGATGTAATGATCCATATGTTTTGTCAAGTGGGAATAGAGGAGGAATGGAGTGGTTTGGGTCGTGGAGGTCGTAGTGAATTCTCTGGGTCGTAGAAATCCATAGAAAGCGATGTATATTGCTGTTTTGATGATAGAATTCGTATTAGTGTCAAATGGTTTCAGGTCGAGTAGGTTAGATAAAGCTTTGAAGATATGGTTATCTATGGGTAGCCTCTGGGCCAAATGTGTGGGTTCTGATTTTTGAATACCTCTGAGTATGGTCTTAATTTGGTGAGAGGCCATGAAACTGTTGTTATTTGGGTGTAAGATGAGCATGTGGTGTTGAATGCCAGTGAGATAGAGTTTGATGGTGTTATATGACAATTTGAGTTTAAGGTGGCAAAAGGAAGCAAACCCCCAAAAAGATGTCATAACAAACGGTTGTATGATGTTATGTTCCAGAAGGAATCGTTTGAATAGTGTGAAAGCCCTGTTGTATGTTTTGTTTGTATTGTGTGAAAGTGCCAACTGAGACAATGTCCTGCTATGCTGCATGATGACGTCTAGTCCAGTATGAGTTGTTGAAATGTTGGAGTGATGGTGGCTGTGGGTGCTGCTGACGGGAGTGCTTGATGAAACTCCTGAAATTTAAAGCGAGACAAACTGTCAGCAGCTGTGTTGTATACACCTGGCACATGAAAACAACATAGGAAGAAATTATGACAAGCTGCCAACCAAGTGAGTTTCCTCAGAAATCTCATAATCGTAAGAGATTTGGAACGACCTTTGTTGATGATGTGACAGGTCGCCTGGTTGTCTGAGTAACAACGCACTGGTGTATTAGCCCATAAATGACCCCACGCTACGGCAGCCGCCACTATGGGGTAGATCTCAAAAAGAGCTGAGGTAGTGGAAAAACCTTCCAAATCCAGAACTGCTGAAGGCCAGCTGCCCCAAAGCCATTCGTTCCCAAAAATTGCTGCAAAACCAGTGGTAGATGCCGCATCTGACCAAATGGTAGGAGATGATTCAGTCAATTGAGGGAGGAACATACTTTTACCATTCCAAGTGGTTAAAAACCTCTTCCACATGTTTAGATCTGCAGTAGCTTGGGCATCTAAGGACAACCTGTGCGTGTCATGTAGAAAAAGTGGGAAAAGATGCAATAGTCGTGAAATAAAGGAGCGGCCTTGAGGTATGATGCGCATTGCAAAATTTAGTGACCCCAGCAGGGACTGTAGTTCTTTGCGGTTGCAAGTGCCGAGCTGTAGGTAGTTGTTAATGTAAGTGAGAATATTGTCTATCTTTTCGTAAGGTAGGCTTGCTTGCATTGTGGCAGAGTCTAACTGGATACCCAGAAAAGTGATAACCGTGTCTGGCCCTTCTGTTTTCTTTGGGGAGATGGGTACACCTAGTTGCTCAAACAGCTTAGTGGTAGCTTTGAGGCTAGTGGGAGGTGCAGTATTCTCCTCGACCAGTAGGAAATCGTCCAAATAATGTAATACTGTAGGGCATCCGGCTATGTTCAATAGTAACCAGCATAGTGCTTCGGCAAATGTGTCGAAAATAGCTGGGCTACTTTTGGACCCAAAAGTTAACCGGGAGAAAAAATAGTAGTTCTCGGACCACTTGATGCCATGCAGGTGCCACAGTGTGGGGTGGATAGGGAGTAATTTGAAGGCGTTAGTAATGTCGGTCTTACTGAGCCAGGCTCCCACCCCTGCTTGTATGATAGCTGTAATGGCGTGATCTATGGTGGTGTATTGCAGAGAGAATTCCTCAGAGGGTATGAGGGAATTAAGACTGGGGTTGGCCGATGAGTGGGGAGCCGATAAGTCAATGATGAGTCTCTGTTTTTGGGAAGATTTCCCTGTGACAATACCAATAGGGTTGGTGCGCCATGCTGTGAATGGGGGAGTTCTAAAAGGCCCCAATACAAAGCCCTCCTCCACTTCTTGGTTTATGAGGGTGTCAACCACTGTGGGGTTGTGTTGGGCGGATTGTAGGTTTGGGCATTCCAGAGTGCCAGCTGGTATGTGTAGGATACCTGTGTGGAAGCCTTCTGTCAAACCAGAAATAATAAAATCTACCAGGTGTCTAGATGGGTGCTGAGACATCAATGCTGTGAATACTGGCATATTAATGGACGTAAGGTAAGGCTTAGAATACATTTTATTTGGACACATGGTCTTAGCATGTGCCCTAAAACATTTTGAACAGACATGCAATAGTCTACATCCACTGTAATTACAAGACCCAACATTGAAATTATTACATATCTGGGACTTGCCCAGAAACTTGATTGGGCGTCCCAATTTGTCTGTGGATAGTTTCCCTGGATCCCCAGAGGAAGTAGTTCCTTGTGTGGAGGCATGTCCGTCTGCCGTGTTTGGACAAAAATTAGTAGTATGGGCTGTGGAGGAGCAGTATGCACAAGCTGGTGTTCTTAGACCTGCAAAGTGTCTGCAGAATAAGACGGTATCAATCCTTCCCCAGTTGGACCGTGTACCGTACTGGGAGAAGGCTCCAGCCACTTTTGCAGAAAAAGACCTATGGTAGTCATAGAATGCTGAACCACCATATTTGTTGCCCAGGTCTACCAGCTTGTGCATATAGAGATCGAACTCCTCTCTTCTGTTGGGATAGACCGCACAGACGACATCCCTGTAAATACCAAATGCTAGAACAAATTCAGGGATAGTCAGTTTTCTGTTTAGGCGGGCATCCCTAGATCTGACAATAACAGAAACATCATCATAAGCATACGTTTTATGTTCCACAATGTCCTGGGAGGCAATCAACAGGGAAGCCAGGTTGACGTCTTTACCTTCCAGGATATCCCTTTTGATATGCTCAGGTATCATGTGGGCCGGGCTAACTTCCTGGTCATCCAGGGGGCTGGCTGGAGCGACTAATGGCAAGGCTGGTGTTTGTACCGCAGCCGCGGGTGGCCCTGCTAGAGTGAGGGCCGTGGTGACCGACTCAAGTTTCTCCAGCCTGGAGTTGACCTTGCCCATGGATGCCATGAGTGAGGATAACATGGCATGTATGTCCCCTGGGTTGGACTGGCTAGATCCTTCCCCGGCTTCCATGTTATTAGTTGATGTGCGTAGCAGTTTGAAAAGTTCTGCCTTCCTTGCTGTAGCGGGGTAGGGGATTTGTCGTCTCCTTAATTCCGTGGTTATGCGCGGGATTGTCCAGGATCTAATTGATGCTGGACTAGCTAGCTCTCCTCCTTGTGTGGGAGTGACAGCTCTAGCCGGGGTGCTAGGCAGGGAGAAATCCTCTACCCCTTCCTGAGACATACTATAAATAAAACAATAATTAGTATATAGAACCACCAAATTGTACTGGCAGGCTAGCTAGGCCGGATGGCGAAAGTATTATGCTTGTTTGGTGACAGGTGAGGCCCTACTAATTGCCAAGCGGCTTGAGAGGCTCTATCTATGCGTTGGCGCGAGGGGTTATTGAGGCCACTTGACGTAGTGGCAGGAGTTTTAGGCCTCTCGGTGACTGTACGACAGAAAACAGGGGAAGGGAGTGACAGGTGAGGCCCTCTCTTTGCAACATGCGAGGCGGCTAGCTAACGTGTGGCCCGATGGGTGTTTGCCTCCGAAACGTTTGAGGCGGGGTGTTGGCCTCGCGGGACCACTAACTAATGGCGACAGCCAAGATGGGGTAAATACCTATTGGGAATCCTGTGACCCTATTGCCAGTACTCTAAACTAGGGGGATGAAATGAAATGTATGGTAGAATACCATATGAGCAGGTGTACGTACCTGGTAGTATGATAAATCACAGGAATAAACCGTGTGGAGCAACTATATAAGCTCGACAGCCTAAAATGGGTAAAAGAGAGTAGTACGATGAGTGTGGGGTATAACAAGAACCAGACTTATAGTCTGTAGCAGCAATGTATAAAATTATGTTGATACCATGGGAATAGCTATGAGTGGCTCAGAAATGTTTGCATGCTTGAAAAAGACATCTGAGGGAGGCCGTGGCCTATGTACAAACAATCTATGTGTTACGTGATAATGGTGTGTAAAGGAAAACATGAAACGTAGGTTATATACATATGTATTATGACTGTGTAGGGGACGTATGATTGGTTGGATCAGGACGTGTGATCCAACCCGAGTATGCATGCAAAAGGACTTATGCCTTGTGTGTCATCGTCATGACAGAGAAATGAGGCCTGTAATGTAGGCTGAGTAAATTGAAATGAAATGGATAGTTATAAAACTCCTGGCGTGGGAGTTCAATGACCTGTACCGAAATGTAACTGGTTTTATAGAAAGGGACATGGATGAGGTCATGGCCTAATTAACACATCGTTGTGTATGATATGTAGCAGAAAGACCAAAGGCAGGGATACCCCAAAATGATTTAGCATGATGTAAAGTGATGTAGATCTATATGATATGTATGTATAGCAAAGACGTATCAACCCGAGAATTATTGCTTAAATGAACCTATCCTTGTATGTATTGTATTAATAACCCAGAAATGAGGCTTGTGACATGGCTGAGTCCATACGTATAAATGGATAAGTAATGCAGACCCCTGAAAGCGTGGGAGTCAAATGGTATACACAGAAGTGGACTTGGTTTGTGGACGTAATACAATACTGACAATTGTTAAAAGTAATCAACAATCTATTTAAGCAAGCAATACTTAACCGAATGTTATATACACATGAAATGGTGAATATAATTCATGAAAGGATTAAAACGTGAACACACAGAACAGCCGAAAGCAAATGTGAGGGGAACACAGAAGTTAGAATAGTTTAACCGTATTATTTATGCGAACCAAAGTGTGTGTGAGCGTATGTAACATTTGCCGAACGGCAAAACAACCGAATGAACATTCGTTTAAATAACATGAATAGGATATGCGAAATGACTATTGAACGATTGAAAACATGTTCAGCCGAATGACCGTACGAAATGAAAAGCCCGCGAATGGCTTGAAAACATTCGTGTCATAACCAGGAAAAAGCCGTAAAGCGAGGACCCGTGCTGTACCGTACGCCGTGGGAACCAGTCCTGGCGTGACAGGAAGGTCTGACTTACGGTTTAGGAGTCCCTGGGACGCGATCTACGACGGAGAAACGGAGTCAGAAGAAGCTGGACGGGCGGAAAGGCCTGAACAGGATTCCTGGACACAGCTTAACGTGGTGAAACCTCCTGGATACTGAAACCAAGATGGCGTCTGAGAGAACCCGGAAGTGGATCCTCATTCAACGCTGACCTCGAACGGTAAGGAGCCAGGCAAGGGGAGTGCCTTAAGTAGGCTAGGGGTGGAAAACCAGCACCTCCCACAAATGCAGGCAAATTGCCTTAATACATATATATATATATAACAATAATTATATATATATATTTAATCAATATCAGTCTACGTGTAATTTGATATTAATATATATATATATATATATATATATATATATATATATATAGTAAAACACACCTAGACAGTGTATGTGTGTGTATGTATATGTGTATATATATATATATACTTAGATCATATACTATATATATGATCTAAGTATATATATATATATTTTTTTTACACTTTTTTACTTTTTTAAATTTTATTTAATTTTTTTATTTGCTAGCAATGCAGGAGGCAGCTATCCCGGCCATGTGGGGGCTGCCAGGGGCTCGGATGTGCCACAGGCTCCCTGGGAGTCCCCCCAACCGCGATCGCCGGCGACCGAGTAAGTAAAGAAAGACCGGAGGGCGTACTATTACGCCCGGCGGCGTTTAGAGCCGCCTAAAATAGGGCGTAATAGTACGCCCTCCGGTCTTAAGGGGTTAAGTGTGTTTAGTTTTTTTGTTTGTTTTTTTTTTAAACATCCATAGCTCCACCTCATGAAGAAATAAACATCAAACAAATGTTCTGTGAGTTAGAGAAAAATCTTAAATCATAAATGAGAGACTCCACTGATGGTGGAGACTGATATCAAATATAGATAATATAATAATATAGATTAAAAAAAAACAGAGAATCTAAGATTAGCTCTATTAAGGAAGGAGAATTTATTAAACAATATGACTAAGCAGTGAAACAAAGAATGATACAATTTGAAATATAACTTATTACCAAAAATAACTCTAAGTTTCTTAGAGACAAAAAGGATTATGAGAATGGACAAGTTAGGAGTTGGCAAAGAAAAAGAGAGAGGAAAACCTTTTAGAGTGCTTATTACACTAATAGAGATAAAATGACTGCCCCTGGATTCCGTTTGGCATCAGAACATGGTTCACAAGTGCAGAAAAACAGATCTTATGCAGATGTTGTCCGCTACCCCACTTACATCAATCAGGAGAATCATAGAAAAGGCACCCGAAGAGAAATAAGCTCCCTAATAGATTCAATCAAGAGAATACTAATTTAATCCCCATTGATATAACAACAGAAAGAATGTATCTAATCCAGGAGGGAATGGGAACCAAGAGGAACGTTTACCTCTCAATAAATATCCCCCAAATCTTGGGGCACTCCCAAAAATCTGGGACCTATATGGGACCTATATGGGACATAATTATTTTTCAGGAGAAGGAATTCAAAACCCTTTCCCCTATTTGCTAAAACCTTGAGCAGAAAAAGAGACATGCTCATAGAGGACTTAGAAGAAAGAGACACCAAACACAACAAATTGAGATGCCTCCCATAAAATAAATTTTAAATCTATCTTTATATGAGTTAAAACCACCAGAAATATTATTACCTAATAGAAGGTTGAATTTTGCTCCCACGAAAAACTTTGACTACATCCTTCAATATAAAAGAAGCAAACAGCATAGCAATTGCCCAAGTTATGTTAATAATCCACAAGACAAGAATATCCTAAAAAGCCTTTTAGCTCTCATGAATGATCATGATGATGAGCTGTGTAATCTAGATGCCCTAAAGTTGATTCAAACATCCAGACAAGCCTTAAACCAGTCTCCACATATTACCCTGTGGCTGATAAAGGACATTACATCCCTATATTCCAAGACTTGGATAGAAAAAATAAGGTAAAAAACAAAAGAAGGAACACCAATAACCTTAGTTTTCCCAAAATCTAAGGAATAATCATGAAATTATTATCAAGGGGGTTGATAAGGGTGGAGGGATTGTGGTCCTGACTAGAAATTACTATTTAAAAGCAGTGAATAGAATCTTGGGGGATAATGAATTCTATAAAGTGCTTCAACAAGAACCTACCATACAATTCACTAAAGACTTACATACTTTTATTGAGAATATATATAGGAGAGGTGTACTGGAGAAGAGAGAAAAGGTGTACCTTCTTTCAGGTCCTGGAGATGCAGCCATCATTTACTATCTCCCCAAAGTACATAAGAATTTGGAAAACCCCAAGGTCATCCCATTATCTCCTCCATTCAGTCTATGATCGCCCCACTATCCAAATGGGCTGATATACACTTACAAAGATATGTAATTAATCTCCTATCATATATTCGGGACACTAGCCATGTGCTCTCTCTGATGCAGGAAATTACTTGGCAGGATAATTACAGCTGGTTGGCCATAGATGTAACTGCACATTATACTACAATTGACCATGCCTTGGGCCTACGAGCCTCTCCTCCCATCACCTCAAGCAGAAACAATTATTGAAGGAGCCAATTTTATCTTGACACACAACTATTTTAATTTTGATAATGTTTTTTTACCTTCAGACTAAGGGGACAGCTATAGGCGCGAGTTTTGCACCCTCATATGGTAATCTTTTTATGGTTGATTGGGAACAATATTTTATATTGGATAAAATGGATTGGTATGAGCATTTGTTTTTTTACTGATAGTTTAAAGATGATATTTTAATAATTTGGAAAGGGGAGTGGAATAAGATTGACACTTTTGTCAAGTTTCTTAATACCTATGATTGGGGTCTGACATTTACGTCCAACAAACAAAGAATACAGATTGAATTTCTCACCCTGTTGTTATGGAGTGAAGAAGGCAAAGTTCTCACCAAAACATACCAAAAGAAAGTGAATGTTAATGGTTTTCTGTATGCTTCAAGCAGACAGCGTGGATAGCCAATGTCATCTTTGGACAGTTCATAAGGCTGCGACACAACTGTTCCAAGCTCGAGCATTTTGAGGAAGCTCTGGAACTGTGTGAACGCTTTTTAGAGAAAGATTACCCTCCCAGCGCTGTAATAAGGCTAGAAACATTCAGAGGATGTCCCTAGTTAACCCTCAAGCAGAAACGATTATTGAAGGAGACAATTTTATCAACTCGTGTATGTAGGGCAAAGCACGAGTCCTTTAAAGAACAGGTTTAGGGAACATTTTATTTCGGGTAAAATCACATGCATTTGATTGCATTTGAGGTAGGGTATTTTTATATTGGAGGAGGGGAGTGACTAGGGGCTTGGAGACCCCTAGTCACTTTATTATTTGTGGTCCCCACCTGCCACTCATGGATGGGGATCTGGGGGGTACATTAGGTCCCTCACCATTATTTATTTATTTAGGGTCCCCATCTGCCGCTCATTGGTGGGGATCTGGGGGGGACATTAGGCCCCCCATTATTTAATTGTTCAAGGTCCTCAACCACCGGTCAATAAGAAAAACATGCTATTTCAAGATGCTGAATTACATTAGGTCCCCACCATTATTTATTTATTTAGGGTCCCCATTAGGTGCCCCTGATTATTTAATTATTCAAGGTCCCCACCTGCCGGGCATGGGTGGGGACCTGGGAGGGACATTAGGTCCCCACCATTATTTATTTATTTAGGGTCCCCACCCGCCGCTCATAGGTGGGGACCAGGGTGGATATTAGGTTCCCCCATTATTTAATTATTCATGGTCCCCATCTGCCAGGCATGAGTGGGGACATAGGGAGGACATTAGGTCCCCCCTATTATTTACTTAGGGTCCCCACCCGCCGCTCATGGGTGAGGACCTGGGGGGGGGGACATTAGGTCCCCCCATTATTTAATTATTTAAAGTCCCAACCCGCCGGTCATGGGTGGGGACCTGGGGGGGAAATTAGGTTCCCACAATTATTTATTTAGGGTCCCCACATGCCACTCATGGGTGGGGACCTGGGTGAGGACATTAGGTCCCTCCATTATTTATTTAATTAAGGTCCCCACCTGACGGTCATGGGTGGGGACCTGGGGGGAACACTAGGTCCCCACGTTTATATTAATAGCCCCAAGCCGCAGGTCATGGGTGGGGGTACAGAGGCAGCACTATGTCCCCCCCATTTTAGTTATTTTGGTTCACCACCATGGGGGAAGGGGGGACCTGTGTCAGGTCCCCCTGTGTAGTGGGGGCCACTGGCTGCTCGCTGTCATTTAAACCTTTTATCACTTCTATATAAATCAGTATCTTAAATAGAAGTGATAGAGAGCTACGGTAAGAGTATGTGTGAAAAGTAGCTATTTAGATCTAAATAGCTACTTTTTCATATTGCAACATTGTTATAGTTTTTGCTATAACTATTGGTTACATGTACTCTTACTGTAGCTCTCTATTACTTCTATATAAGATACTGATTTATATCCAGTTTTAAATGACAGCGAGCAGCCACTGCACCCTAACTGTTAATACCATTTTGATATACACAGATATTAGTCTGCAAGATTAACCATGTCTGCCTATGTTACTATTACTTTAAGGCAAATATGATAAACTTGTTGGACACATTACTATTAGCTTTCTGCATAGAGCTATGTGATACACAGTTGCAACAGTTAACTGTGCAGCATATAAATGGTAGACTTGATACTTTATTATTCACTATCCTACCAGAAAATATATGTGCCTAAATGTGTCCTATTAACTTTTCACTCCTTTTGTATTCCATCTATTTAGAGAGATACTTAGATTGTTATCATCATTTTGTATTCTTATTATTTTCACCTCCTTGTTCTTTATATACTATTTCTTTCTATGTATTTATCTAC